CTTTTGTGGCTGCACATATGGCAAAAGGCGATTCCAAATCAGGTACATTTTCCTCTGAAACAGGGGAAAGATTGTGCACAGACACTTTGCGAATTCGTCTTATGGCGAAATCCTCTTCCTCACTTTGGCTTTCCTCGGCGTCTGGATCTTCTTGGCCAATCCCGGAAGCGTGGAAGAAAAGCGATCTTATATTCACCACTCTAATGGTACAATTCCCTTGATTTCAAACATAAAGCTCCTCCTCCCTCACCACCACGCCAGCTGGGTTCTTAAATCTGGCCTTGCTTCCACGTCCATTAGTGTGCTCCGGCTCACCACCATCGGCGATTAAAGTGACATTCGTAGGGCAGTGCATGTCAATGATGAAAACTGCCTGAAGAAGTCGATCAGTTATAAAAAGCCTGCTGCGCTTTGGGTAGAATGTCAATCCTACCGGGTAGCTTAAAAGAGATAGCCCACTCTTCTTCTAGCGCTTGAATTCTAGTGCGGGCACTAATATAGTGCCCACTTTCTCGTCTGGAATGGAATCCTGGACCTCTTTTCGGTGGATCTCCAGTGCTGTCTCGACATCCCTGTGGTCTAAAATTCGAAGTGCTTTTAATGAAACGCATTTCTTTATGCCCTCATCTTCTCTGCGCAATAACAAGAGTAGCTTTACGTTTACGAGATAACCGTCAATGACGATCCAATCCAAGAATTCAGCGGAATGCACTGACTTGATGTTGTGGGGGCAATCGGGAATAGGGACTCGGTAAGGGTACTTTTCTCTACCTGCAAGCATGGTATTCATAAAGGTCTTCTGTTTCGGATCGCAGTCAGTGGACCAAAGTAATGGCAGAAGTCTTCTGCATACTATGTTTTCTCTCAGACATTGTTCAAGCAAATAAATTGTAGATTTATAAGATAGAATTTCAGAATCAAACTGCGATGAAATACCGGTTTTTGAAAAATGTTTTAGGTACAGCCTCGTTTTCATGCCGACCAACGAAATTCATACTGACTGGTTTGTACAGACCAGATAGTTAATTTTGCTGATGAACGACATTAGAAAGTAACAAGCAAAATGTAATAGTTGGCAATTCAAAATCTGCAGTGGCTTTTCTATATTTTTTTGAAATACTAAAGTGAAAGGACTTGAATAAATTGAAAATGGTTAAACATGAAAATTTGTGCGTAAATATGTTCCAAACAAACACATGGAAAAATCACTGAATTTTCCACATCGTAAGAAAAATATTTCAGAAAAAAGGCTTCAAAACGAAATATTTGAGAATTGAGTCCATCCACCGAAGTCACACTTTCTAACTCCAGGCTTTTGAAATTTAGATGAGCGTGGTGGTGTAGATAAGTTTGCCAAACTTCTGCGTTTACTACGGTAACAGCCGCTCCTGAATCCAACAAACTACAAAGAAGCACCGAAGAACTACCAGCTTTGAAAGGAAAGCGAACATTTCCATCACTATTTTCCAATCCTTTTCAAACCTGAAGGTGTGACGTCTGTTGATCGACTGTACTCAAAGTTGAACTTCTTTGACATCCAGTTCCCATCAAAAATGGGACATCAACAGATTTATGACATCACTAAAGTTTGAACTC